TCTCCCTCTCTCTGTCTCTCTCTCTCTCTCTCTCTGTCTCTCTCGGTTCGCAGAATAAAAAAGATTGCAACATCGATAATGAACTTCTGTAGCCTCAGTTTATTAAGCACAGTGCCTGGCATTCTTCGCTGAAAGTTGGCGGGTCTCTCATTTATAACATTTTTGGCACTGCTGAATGAAACTGAGGAGGCGATATTTCCTTTTATATAAAACGATTACTTCACGGAAAATGCTATATTGTTTATTCCAAAGCTGCCTTTTAAATTTCCATTCTTTTCGCTTCTGGAGCCCGAAGGACAACAGACAGCGAAGTATGCAGACAAAATTCTTGGACATTCGCAGGTCACTGGGATTTGTTCTTCCACGGATTTCAAATCCGCCCCTCTTCGCCCTCCCTCAAGCCTCCCCCCGCCAGACTGCCCCCCCATTCCTGCTTTCGCCTTCCCCCCACCTAACATCACCCCCCCCTTTCCACAACTGCAAATAACTCAGTGATAACAGATTTTTTTCCACCAACTGCAGGAGATAGTGCTAATCTTTTAATAAAAGATCCCATTACAATGGGATCTGTCTGGACAGACTATAATAGATCCCGAAATACAGCCGTGCTAATATTAGAAGACAGTTGTTTGGGTGCCTCTCAGACGGGCCCAAGCCCCCCTTTGAAAGTGGGCATGAATCACAAAGCCCCGCGGCCGCCGCACCTGCACCGCGCGCATTCGGTGCAGCAGGCTGGTAAAAACGGGTGACCTCGCCGCTGCTTTTCGCTTTATAATTACCGTCCTGAGGACGGGAGAGGAGGGGTGCGGGCGGTCTGGGGGTGGGGGGCTGGCTTTCTGCTGACTTCAGACGGCTCTGGGGTCTCCACATCCTTCTTAATATTTCCAGATTTATTCTTTCTCTCTCTCTCTCCTCCCTCTTCTCTCTTTCCCTCCCGTCCGCCCACTCCTTCTCTTTTCTCTTTCCCTCCCTCGTCCCCGAGTCTGCTCAAACCCCCCCCTCCCCTCTTTCTTTCCCGTCTTCCTTTCTTTCTTCCCTCCAACGCAGCATTAATGTAGAGTTGTTTAGTGCCCTCTAATGGCAGACGACATTAACAATTAATAGCAAACTGTCCCCATTGCGGGAGCTGCCCCTCAATGGCAGAGTTCCAAAGTTGAATTTATTTCTTCTTCATTCAGGGAGGTGGATATAGTGCTTATATATAGTAAAGTGCTGGAGGGAAACTTTGCTTCCTTCCCTTCAAGTCTTTTTTCCCAAGGATAACAGCCGGAAGAAAGGGGAAAGCTAACAATTACTGTTATTTGACTTGTGTGTGTGTGTAAAAATTTGTCTTAATAGCAGCAAGAGACACAGCTTTTGTTTTAGCTAGGTTTATCAAACCATGTATCTAGAATTGGAAAATTAGTTAGATATTCTAAATACATAAAAGATCTTGGATGGTGGATGGTTGGATCTTATGGCGGTGCTTTACCAATAGCCATTGAAAAATTTTAAGACCCAAAAGTAATTACACGAATTTGTATTTGTCTCCCTTTTAAAGACATTTATTGTTCCCAAATCTACTCTAGTCTCTTAAAGCTTGGAAAATCTAATTGCAGTTAGATTTTATAGCCTAGGACCATACAAAACATTAAAATGTTACTTGTGGTTGGCCATATATGAAGTCATCTTGCTTAGAGGAGTATAAGATAACATTTTAATCCATGGTTTATTTTCTCCATCCTTTTGGAAAGGTGATTCTAGAGACCATCATTTCTTCATATTTTATAACATATAACAATGAAAATGGTGATGTAGCTTGCATGTTCTTATTAGATTTAACTTGTTCAATTACATGTACATATACAGTATGTTAATATAAAGAGAGCATAACAGTTATATGCAATATGGCTTTTTTGGGGGGATCTATGTGACTAAATAAAACTTGTAATAGAGTCAGTTTTGGGGGGTTTAATAAAAATATTTATCTGGATTTTTGAGCAAAAGTATTTGGTTTATGTAGGTAGTTAATTTATACATAGAGAGACAACTGGTGTAGTAAACACTTCCTAAATTCATTTAATCCAAGGTGTGTCTACACAATTCTGTATGATGGGTAAGAAGTAAACATTCTGTTTCCATTTTATTTTTTGTCTACGTAATGCCAAATACTCGGACTGGTCATTTGACAAAATCAAGTGCATTGACTAGTTGCTTTGGCATCATGTAATTGTCTAGGCTGGCCAAAACAGACACAGGAGCTCTCCTTGTAAAAAAAAAAAAAAAAGAAAAAAATGTCACCTCTCATAAGAGTGCTCCAGTACTAGAGGCGGACCCAATACAGGATTACTTCTCGCCCCAGTGAGGGTGGCCCTGCAGGTCAGGGTTGAGGTCACTAGCAAACACACTGTGGAAAACACAAATGCTGTGTTGCTTTTGCCCTTGTGAATAAGCAGCTTGGTGTTTGTTTAATGATACAAGCTCATCCTGTTTTTCAGCTGCACCTTGGATAGTATTGATCTGTTTGGGAGAATGTCTGCTCTGAATCGGCACAGATCAGTCATCAGAACTCTTGTTGGTCTGGGTTATCTTCTGGCCAATTCAAGGAAATGAGACATAGGTCAATACTGGTTCCATATGGGCCTCCTATGGGCATCAACAAGAGACCCATCCAATTTCTGTGGTATGAAATGCTATCACACCTGTTCAATGCCATCACAGAAAAACAGCTGCTATTTTTTTTTTTTTTTGCTGTTTTATCTCCTGTAAATGTTAAATATTGGGTTTGTGGATGTCTAAATGTCAAGGGGACATTTTAAAATAAAAATGCCTTCTTTCATTTTTGTTGTATGCCTCTAAGTTTGACTTCTTATTTTTTTCCTTTCTGCTCTGCCAAAAAAGTAAATGTAAATTATGAGAAACACAATAGGACCACTCTGTAACTGACTTTCTGGGCAGCACACAAAAAGACTGCTGTTCTCTGATTGTTTTTTTGTCAGCTTCAAAAGCTGTCTTCCTTCTGAAGTTTATAAATTTAAAATATTGGAGTTTAGCAAATGATTCAATCTAGCTCTGAAGATATCTACTTGAAATCATATGATTGTTGTTTGAGACCAGAACTGACCTGGTTAAATTTCAATCTCTAATAAGGGAATGTGTATGGAGGGGGTGGGATGAAGTTATGTATGGAAAATTTGAAAGTCATAAGCTGTGTAGCTTTTATTTTTTGCCTTAAAGTTAAGTGTTCAATTTTTTTGAAATTAGGTGTTTTGCAAAATGAATATTAAAATTTCAAATGCAAATAAATAATCTTGTAGAATTTAAACACTTGATAAGTAGGCTGAAGTGATTTTAAAATCAGATTTTGTTCTTCTAGGTACATAAACATCTACTTAATGCGTCATGGTTTGAAATTGTGCAACTTCATAGGCTGGAATGAGGATTTGAGTTAGGGTGGGGGATAATAGTTCTGTATTAGCTGAATTGTTGTAGAACTAAAAAGTTAAGAAATGTGAGTACATAAAAGCAATGTTTATCCAAGATGTCCAAACCAATTGATTAAGTTTTTAAAAAAGTCGTTAGAATATGTTTTTAATATAGTGCTGAGAAAATAATTGATTACCTGAACTTTTCTCTTTTCACTATTGCTTTGATGTTATGTAGAGCCAGTTATCATGGACATCTCGTTCTTTCTGATACTACCTGTCTCTGTATAACATTTTTTTTAAAGATTTTTTTTTGTAAGTAATCTCTATACCCAACATGGAGCCTGAACTCACAACCCTGAGATCAAGAGTTGCAAACTCTACCCACTAAGCCAGCCAGACACCCCTTTGTATGACATTTTTTAAAAAGTTTATTTGTTTATTTTGAGAGAGAGAGAGAGTGAGGGAGTGCATGCATGGGTGAGGGAGGGGCAGAGAGAAAGGGAGAGAGAGAATCCCAAGCAGGCTCTGCATTGTCAGCACAGAGACCCATGTGGGGCTTGAACTGACCAACCATGAGATCATGACCTGAACTGAGATCAAGAGTCATGCTTAACCAAATGAGCCACCCAGGCGCCCCTAGCACTTAAAAAAATTTTTTTTTAATGTTTATTTATTTTTGAGAGAAAGAGAGAGAATCAGAAGCATGCTCCAGGCTCTGAGCTGTCAGCACAGAGCCTGACATGGGGCTTGAACCCATGAACTGTGAGATCATGACCTGAACCAAAGTTGGATGCATAAATGACTGAGCCACCCAGGTGTGTCCCCAGCACTTTATTTTTAAAGATTTAAAAAATTTTTATATTATTTTTATTTAAACATTTTTTAAAAAAGATTTTGTTTATATTTTTGAGAGAGAGCATGACTGAGGGGAGGTTCAGTGGGGGACAGAGAGAGAGAGAGAGAGAGAGAGAGAGAGAGAGAATCCCAAGTAGGCTCCATGCTCAGTGTGGAACCCAACATGGGGCTTGATCCCATGACCTTGAGATCATGACCTGAGCCAAAATCAAGAGTTGGATGCTCAACCGACTAAGCCACCCAGGCGCCCCAATAATTAGGTTTTTTTTAAGTGTTTGCCTATTTAATATTGCAGTCAGTAGTTGATGATTGCTGTCTGATCATCCATGTTGTCATCTCTGCTCATTTTTTATTTAACATGAATCCTATCTCATTTCCGATGTCAAATTTGCCCCAAAAGTAAAATATTATGTTTATGAAAGGTCCAGAGTTCACAAGGCAGTTTATACATGACTTTAGACATCCTATTGCGTCTTTATATACATTTTTAGTTAGTCATCTTTCCTCAAAGGGGAATTAATTCCAAATCCATTTTGTGTTTTGCCTTTGCACCTTTGTAAAAAATGAAATGATCTCATATGTGTGGATCTATTTCTGCGCTCTTTATTCTGTTTCATTGATCTGTTTGTTGATTTTATGGCATACCACATTGTCTTGATTATTGTGACTTTATAGTAAGTAATGAAGTCAGGTAGTATGGTTCCTCCAACTTTGTTTTTTTTCAAGATTGCTTTGGATATTCTGGCTACATTTTCATATATATTTTAGAATCTGCTTGTTGAATTCTACAAAAAAAGCTTGATGGAATTATGACGGGGATACATCAATTTGGGGAGAAATGATATTTTAACAATATTGAGTCTTCAAAACCATGAGCATGGTATATCTTTCCATTTACTTATGTTTTCTTTCATTTCTCTCAACTATGATTTGTAGATCTGTTTTGTATTTTGGCTGTCATTGAAAAACATGCTGAAGGATGATAAATGCAGTTTTCAGCTCTTCCCCTCAAAATAGCTCAATGGGTTACAAAGATTTTCTGGTGCAGGCTTATGCTTGTCTCATTTCCTAAAGTTGATTATCTATGACCAGTCAAAAATGTATCTAGCATACTTCCCAGGAGTGGTATGCTAACTCATTAAAATCTGTTGCATGGATTCTTTTAGTGTTTCTCTTAGATTATAGTCACTTCTTTAAATGACCAATTTCTGTCACAATGACATTTACACTTAAAGAGTGTTAGAAATCAAGGTGCCTGGGTGGCTCTGTGGTTAAGCGTCTGTCTTCGGCTCAGGTCACGATCTCATGGGTTTGTGAGTTCAAGCTCCACATCGGGCTCTGTGTTGCCAGCCTGGAGCCTGGAGCCTGCTTCAGATTCTATTCTCCCTGTGTCTCTGCCCCTCCCCTGCTCTTGCTCTGTCTCTCAAAAATAAATAAAACATTAAAAAAATAAAATGAGTGTTAAAAATGATCCTCTAATGGTTAGTGATTTGTTGAATATTATTTTATCATTTTTATGCGAAAAGACTCAAAGTATCATTATTCTTAAGTTTAAGCAGTGGAAACATGCAGTTGCCATTGAGCCAACATTTGGGTAACAGTTACTTT